CATGACCTGAGCCGAAGTCGGATGCTCAACGGACTGAGCCACCCGGGCGCCCCGAGCTGCAGGTTTTAAGCAAAGCCGAGCCCTGTCATGCAAGGAACACTGGTTTAAGACCTCCTCAGAGATTTCACGTGAATACTAAAAACACGGTTGAAGCCCGGGTGCTTGATGGGACAGCACTAAGTGCCTGCCTGTATGTCACAGAAGGGGATTAGCCATTTCTCCATTTTTTAAAGCAGAATGTGAGACCTAGATCATTGTTTTCCCCTTGGTTTGAATCCGGTTCACTTGAGCTGTGGCTGAATAACACGCCCACCAGCGAGAGCAGAGGTCCTCAACCTCTGTTTCAGGATCATCTCACTAAGGGGGAAAACCGTTAAACTGAGAGTCTCCGCGACAAGACAAATTAAACACTACAAGATACAGATTCTGCAAACCACCGAAATATCTACAATTTAAAAAATCCTCCCTCCCCCACGAGCATCCACTTCTGCCTCCTTGGGTCTCATATCACTCCTGCTGGGAACACACAAGGCTCACGAGATGAGCTGGCGACCTCCTTGCAGTTACTGGAGGACGGGGGTTAAGCTTTCTCTGGCATCCAGACGAGGGTATTGCCCCTATTTTACAGACGGGGAAACTGAGGAGGAAGGTCATCAGAAAGGTGTGGCGGGATAAACGCGGCTGAAAACCAAGTCCTGCTTTTCTGATTGGCTGATTTGGAAAGAAATTTGATCTTCACAGGAAGGAAGTGCCGTGTAACTCCTTAGACATGAGCCCTCCCCTAGATATTTCCTCAGGGTCCCATGCGGATGTCTGTATGGACCATTTAATTATCTGGTATGGCTCTAGACTGACACGCGGGCTGAACTAGCTTCATCCAGGGTCATCGGTTCTCATGGTCTTTTCTTTGTTGCTTTTGACGCTTTTAAGGTCGCCAGATGATCCATGCCAACAGGCACTGATACACAAAAAATGGCAGAATGAACAAAAATAATAGAACCGTAGAGATGTGGTGGTGGAAGACAGGAGGTGAGCTTTTGCCCTCTTTTCCTGAAAAGAGGTCTAGACTCCCGACAGTCTATCTGGCAAGAAGGCGAGGTTTTTTCTCGATTAACAGACTTGATTAACCAGCCACCTTCCAAACCTCCACACCAGTCGCTTAGAGGATGTTTGGGTAAACAGAGCCCTTGCCCACTTCTGCCGAAGAAACTTTCTGGATTTTTAATTGTTGACTCTGTTATTGTTTACAAAATGTTTGTTTATTTACTTTGAGAGAGAGAGCGAGCGAGCGAGCGAGAGAGAGAGGGAGACAGAAAATCCCAAGCAGGCTCCACGCTGGCAGCACAGGGCATGACTTGGGGCTCGAAGTCACGAACCATGAGATCGTGACCCGTGCTAGAAGCCAGAGTCGGATGCTTGACTGACTAAGCCGCACAGGCGCCCCTAATTGTTGGCTTTAAAATGTATTTCTTTGGCTTTTTGTTGGGGTAACAGACACATAACACCAATTTACCCTTCTAACAACTTTCAAGTGTCCAGTACAATATTGTTAACTATCCGCACGCTGCCTTACGACAGATCTCTAGCACGTTATCGTGTATGAATAAAACTCCACCCGTTAAACAACTCTCCTTCGTCCCCTCCTCCAAGCCTGTGGTAACCACCGTCCTACTTTCTGTTTCTATGAGTTTAACTACTCTAGGCACCTCCTATAAATGTAATTACACAGCATTTGTCTTTTTGCGTGTGCGTGACGGGCGTATCTCACGAAGAATAACGTCCTCGAGTCTCATCCATGTTGTAGTATCTGGCAGGATTTCCTTCATCTCAGGCTGCACAATATTTCATTGTATGTATTTGCCGCATTTTATTCATCCATCCATCAGTGGACATCTGGGCGGCTTCCGTCTCTCGGCTATTGTGCCCACGGGGCTGCAAATATCTCTTCACAATCCTGTTTTCAATTCTTTTGAATGTACAAGGAGAAGTGGGACTGCTGGATCATTGCAAAGGTATTTCTAATTTTTTTTTAATGTCTATTTATTTTTGACAGAGAGAGAGGACAGAGGGCGAGCGAGGGAGGGGCAGAGAGACAGGGAGACACAGAGTCCGAAGCAGGCTCCAGGCTCTGAGCTGTCAGCACAGAGCCCGACGCGGGGCTCGAACCCACGAACCGTGAGATCATGACCTGAGCTGAAGTCTGGCTCTTAACCGACTGAGCCACCTAGGTGCCCAGCAAAGGTATTTCTAATTCATTTGAAATCGTGGGTAAATTTGCAGCCTGGTTTATCAAACACCCGGTCACTAAGTCAAGGCATAAGGACCCCGGAGCAGTCTGTTTCCGAGTCTCCAGACATTCCGTTGTTGAGAGATGGCCCTGTGTTCTGCTCACTTCGCCTCCCCTTCATGGCCACGCTCCTTTGCCAGGTTTTCTTTTTTTCAATGGCTTGTGCCTGGATTCAAGATTTTTCACGATGTCTTCCCACTTGGCTCATCTTGCTTATTCCTCAGCTGGATCAGACACTTTCGATGCACAGAAACAAATCCAGAATAAACACTCCAAGTGTGTGCAATGCTTTTCGGGCAGATAAAGAACCATCTCCGGCCAACCCCAAACGTGAACAATAAAAACTTGATGACGTCGGGTCTGCCGTAGGAATATGCCTCATCCACATACGGTCACCAGGTACGGACATACACGTTGCGTGCTGAAATGAAAAGCTGCTCCGTACTTTTCTACGCAAACACCAACCAAGCGCTAAACGCTCTCGGTGTGGGCAAGCGTGTGGAATATTCCAAGTCGGCATTGTGCTTTTATTCATTTAGGTTTTGCAATCACCTTAACTGAGTGAAACTTGAGTGGTGAGAGACAACGAAAAGGGATGGAGCAGGGAGGTGACGGGGAGGAAGGGTAAAAGGAATGAAGAGAAAAAGAAAGAAAAACAGCCTCACTCCTTCGCATCCCCGCTTTAGGGAGAAATTCCAGCTGGGTCATTTCAAGAGGAAGTGACTGTCAGTGGTGGAAATATTTAGGTGTAAATTACCACAAAGATCTGAGGCAGGGTTTTCGTCACGAGGAGAAGCCAGAGTCTCAGGGAATTTTTGTGTCTATCTTTAGAAAGAAAAGGCAAGGACCACCAAGGAGCATGCAATCTCGAAGAAAAATGATGTCCCGAAAACTGGAACCACATGGGGCAACCCCGTTAATCACAACACACGCACGCAAGATCTGATGGTGTGATTTCAAGGAAGCGTGGCGTGGAACAGTAGGCCCGCATCACGGAGCAAGGAGTCCAGAGGTTCCGTATGTGAAAACGGAACAAGAAAGCTCTGTCAGTTTGGGCTCCATTTTAAAAACTGTCTCAAAATTGGGTTTCAATCCCGGTGGTCCATCTTGCACACTCCAAGCTCTCTCAGTTCGCTACCCAAATCAGAAACAGAATTTTCCTCCACGGAACTTCTCCGGTCGCTCAAGAAAATATCCTTTCTGTCCGTCAGAGTGAAGCAAACAGAAGACGACACCAGGCCTCGAGCCAGATCAAAGCCGCCCCGGTCAGCAAATTAGATGTGCAGCCTGTCTCATGGATGAGTTGCAGATGGTTTTTTGGACCCCGCCAAGCTGGGGATGTCATCTTTATTTGGTGCGAAGGGGGTGGGTGTTGTTCAGGTCCAGTCACGCTTCCTCCGAGCAGAACCATGACTTTTTCTCATCATAAGCTCTTATTTCCTCTTATTTCACATTTCATTAGTTGGGCTGATTGGATCTTTTATTCCAGCCTGTTGAGGAAATTCTCCAGGGAATCTCAGTTCTGATTGACTTTGGCCATGAGTGACAAGCCTTAATAGCAGCCCTGCAGTTAAGAGTTTCTATCTCCCTGAGATCTCGCGATCTGTTTTATTCTGAAGGTGCCATATTGTCTCCTATCTGGGAAAAGAGCAACCGAACAGATATTTTTGAAACACGAAATGATTCTACTGTCTGTTAGGTTGAATTTGTGTCTGGTGTGGATTTTGATTTGGATTAGAAACGCGCCAGAAAAGCTGTTTCAAACACAGCCATGGGGGGAATAAAGGCAGAAAATAAATCTTCAACGTGTCAATGAATGAAATAGAAGAAGCTGATTTATTAAGCGCAGCAAAATACAAGGGAATTGAGGACCAATTAGTGCTTTCTGTGTTCACCAAAGTCTGGTGTAAAATTCGATCATGACTGACGAGCCCACACAAAATTCCAGTCCTGTGTTGCCACGGGAATCTGTAAATGGAAGTGCAAACGTGAGGCTTTGCCTACAAACGTGAGGTTGCTATCACTGGAGGAAGATGCCATCTTCGATGATTTTTTACGCCTCCCAAGTGTTCAGCTCGGTTCTAGGTATAGAGCGGAAGCACAGTATTTATTGGCCAAGTTGAATCACTAACATCAAGCTCCCGTATACTGGTTTTGTTCTATAAACTCCCCCAATTATCAGGAAAGACTTCAAGGTTGCTCCTTTGTCGCCTCTCCAGATAAAAAAACTCACATAAGCTCACGAGCAACCTACAAAGGTCATGAGTGTATATGCGTATATATAGCCCGGGGGCCAAAAGTACAGCTGTTCCTGACAAGTACTGTCGCCGCCACAGGCTGGACTGCTTCTCAAACGACCGCCTCAAGCAGCTTGCGACACGTGAGACAACACACAATAGGCGTTTCTGGGTGTGCACGCTCGCGTGTGTGCATACAGCTACGTCGAAACCCACAGGAACTCTGCACGCAAGAGACACTATTAACTAAGGAAATGAAGGCTCAGGCTAACCTGCCTAAGGACATGTAGCAGCTATTACAGAGCGGGGGTAAGCGGTGACGGTTAAATCCTGAAATGGCAGCAAAAGAAAAAAGCTGAGTTATCGGGTATAGTCATCCGCGAGAGCCAAGGTGGCCCTTCGAGGCCACCACCGGCCATGGCAGCGGACTTGGCCCCGAGATCCAGCCCAAGTCGGCAAGTGGGTATCGACCTTCTCCTTCCGGCCACCATCGAGATCGGAACTTTTCAGGAGCAAATTTCATTTCCTCTTTTTAACATTCTCAAGAGACTATGTATCAAGCTTCCCAACAAACTAAACACATCTGGATTTGCCAGTCTTCTGCTTGAAAAAGAATGCCATTTCTCAAGCCAAAAG